TACTGCAATACTGTAATAATTGTATAAATAATAACAACCCATTCATGACTGCATATTAGAATGGCTAGTTGGACATTTATTGGACAATGGCATCATTTGTTTACTTTTGAACATTGGCAAAAATCAAACATTTCCCCAACTTTCAGCTCCATTTCTAGGTTCTTTTTATAGTAAAATCAATCAAAATCACCTCTATTTCTATAATATGTTTTCCATTCTATCAAATGAGACCATGAAAACGAGAATACAACAATAAATACTATACGAAAATAGACCACAAAGTCGGCATTTTAATTAAAAAAAACGGTCGGAGTTTATTTTTTCTCATTATGCACTGCGTGCTCCAGGATTTTTTTTATATGGTGCACACTGACCACACAGACCTATTCTCTCACATGTGGGCCTACCAGTTTTCTTCTGCTTGATTTGAAGCCACTAGAAATTATGAGTATATATACGTCAAACACGGTACCTCGTAAGACGTATATATACGGCCGCGACAGTCAAAGGGTTAACGACATAGAAAAAGAGCAGAATCTGGCTGCCAGACCGTGGTACATCATAATGGGGGGACTGACTTCTCAAAGCAGCTGAGACCTCAGTAGGTCAGGCTGGTTCTGGACTGGAGCAATGTTAGAAACTCTAGCAGCTGTTTCTTGTCAGACCTCTGCACACTTTCCACATCCTTCATGTGCTTGATCAGGTATGTGTTCCATGCTCCTGCTGTATACTCCGGGACGGGCTTGACGTGTGTCGTACATAGTGTGATGATTCTTTTAAGATTCTTAAAAACTAATTTCGGATTTGCCAGATGTGCATACATTGTATAGTGTGTGTGTGTGTGTATGTGTGTGTGTGTGTGTGTGTGTGTGTGTGTGTGTGTGTGTGTGGTGTGTGTGTGTGTGTGTGTGTGTGTGTGTGTGTGTGTGTGCGTGTGTGTGAGCGTGCGTGTGTATGGATTCATTAATCTGCAGTCACCAGCTTGAGTCACCACTTTGACGGACGGGAAGTGATGACTTAAACGAGTTCTCTTAGTTTAACCTGATAAATATTTCCCATTAAAATATTAATACATCTCAGTCTTGGCTTCAGTGATGCTTCACCAGACACACACTAAAAAGCTTAATGATAACCAAGCTTCGTGAAGAGCAATAAAACTCTTATTAAGCTGGCAATAACAAAAAAAAAAGGAACCTGTATCTACATTTTTTGTTTAATATAAAACTGGAAGGCGAATAAATATGATTGCTAAAGTATGGAATAATATAGTCTTCTAGTCACTCTTGCACTGTGTGTGTCAATAAAGTGGATCTGCATTAAAAAATTTGTTTTGTTTCTGATTACATACCTTGTCCAGCCCATCCTTCATATTTAATAAATAGTGGTGAGAGGAGCGACTCTCGTCACTGTGGTCCAGGGACCAAATCCCCGGACTATAAAAAAAAAAGAGATAGAAAAAAAAAGTAATTTCGACATTTTTGGCTCGACATAACCCACTAGGTTAAGAAAGTTCGGTATTGGCAGATAACAATACAAGAAACTTAAGCTAATTACAGCTAGAGTTAGGAAATTTACCCTAACCTCCAGCAGTAAATATTTGATTTTAAAAGGGGTGTACAGAAAGTGACACATTGTAAAACACTGCAAAATAAGCTTAATATATCGGGGACAGGTAGCACTGGCTCACATGTACATTGCTCTACCAGCTGACGTACCTGTATCGCCCTTAATTTTAACCAGTATGAAAACCATTCCCTTACCTGTCAAAGACCCACCTCCTCCCTTACTAGCCAACCAAGAAATCACAGCCTATCAACAAACCAGCCATTATTTTCTTTTTTGACTAATCAGCTATCTGTAACCTATCAGTCACCAACTTACCCAGATCATCAATCATATCTCCCTTAACCAGAGTAACAATCGTAATTCCATTTCTCAGAGAACGGATCCCGTATTCCATACCCTCTAAAGAAAATGTCCTTCTTATATAATGAGACCGTTCAACCTTGTTGAATGGCTATTCCTGTGCCTGTGGTCATAGGCGTCTGAAGATCACTTCTCAAGTGAATCTCCAAGAAAAACGATATATATATGATTAAATCATAAGAGATCGCTACATATCCCAGAGAATCACCAACTCCCACAAAGCCATCACAGTCACCACCTCGTGATGATCACCCAATAAAACAAAAGAACTTCTCCATCCTCCGGGTCAGAAAAAAATGTAGGATGGAACTTTTTGCTTACAAGTCTAGTAAAATGAAACTTAGTGCAGAGTAAAACTTTATCATAGAGAACGTTTTCCTCTGGTTGGAACTTCGTCAAGACAACTTGATAAAACTCTTTCCACAGCGAAATGTAGTTCATAAAAAGCATTGATTGGTAATATTTAAACCATACATAACCGGGAGAACTTTCCCACTCAGCCACTGTAGAAATACACTATAGAACTTCTCTCAGCACACATCACAGAAATACCCCACCTCACCACAGAAATACCCCACCTCACCACAGAAGTACCCTACCTCACCACAGAAGTACCCTACCTCACCACAGAACTACCCTACCTCACTACAGAACTACCCACCTCACCAAAACTACCCTACCTCACCACAGAACTACCCCAC